TACAGTTCAGAAGATGGAAAAATTCTGATAATTCAGATGCAAAGACAAGGTAAAATATGCACCCAATCAACATCAAGAACATTTTTATAAACTTCTGCAATAACTTATCTCCAAACAAAATTTTGAGGAATTCTGTCTGATTGGAGATTACAATGTTGTATTTGACAGACTTCTAGATGGAAAAATGACAATTGGAAAACAGCAACAACTTCCAATATATTTTTACAACTGGCAGAAGAATACAATCCGGTTGACTCCTGGAAAGTGAGAAATCCCACAAAGAATGACTTTACTTTTTATTCAGCAAGACATAAGTCATGGTCAAGAATAGATATGTGTTGGATATCAACAACACTTATCAATGACTTATTAGAAGTGGAGATACTACCAGCAACGTTTGCAGACCACAATCCTGTTATGCTTACACTACAAGACATACCAAAGAAAAATAGATGGTCTTGAAATACATTTTTACTGAAGAATGAAAAATTTGTAACAGAGACTAAAAAAGAATTTCAAATGTTTTTAAAACAAATATACAGCCAGATGTTTCCATTAGAGTGGTGTGGGATGCATTTAAGGCTTATGCCAGAGGTTGGATAATTAGAGAAGCTGCACATATTAGAAAACAAAAGACAGAAAAATTATGCAAATTAAGGAACACATTAAGAAACAGGAAGAGAAGATGAAACAAGAACCTTCAGTTGATAAATTAAGAATGAAACTAAAATTATTACAACATCAAATGAGCTGCCTGTTAACACAAGAAATAGCCAAAAAAAATATGTACGCAAAACAAAATTACTTTGAAAATGCTAACAAACTGAATAGATAGTTAGCGTACAAATTACGGAAAGAAAAAGAAAAAAGGAATATAAGAATTTTAAGAAATGAGGAAGGAGAAGACAAAAACATACCTAAAGACTTGAAAAGGATTACTGAAACCTTTTATCAGAAATTATATCAAAAAAGAGAAGCTCCAGGTGAGGAAGTCAAAGATTTTCTAAAAAAATATAATTCGAAAAAATTTACCGAGGAACAAAGGAAAATTTTAAATGATCCTATAATTTTTTCTGAATTAACAGAAATACTAAAAAAAGCAAAAACAACAAAAAAAAAAATAGGGGAAGACCCCAGGCCTGGATGGCTTTCCGGCAGAAATTTATCATGTCTTTCCAGACCAGCTGACAATACCTTTAAAGCACATAATTCAAAATTTAATAATTGAAGGTAAAATACCAGAAACTTGGAATGAAGCTCCAGTAACTTTGATACACAAAGTACAGGTGAGAAAGAAATTTATACAAAGCAACAAGCAAAGGTCACTGTCAATGGAGATTTATTACAAAGTATTGCAATACAGAAAGGGACTAGACAAGGATACCCAGTTTTACGTTATTTATATTTGTGCTTGAAATATAGAATGATATGATTAGAGAATATGATTAGAGAAGATACCTACATTAAGGGTCTTAAAATAAGAGGAGAAGAATATAAATTGCAAACATTTGCGGATGACTTGGTTTTTATTTTAGAAAACCCATTGGACTCTATTACACAATTATTAAAAATCTTGCAAGAATATGGTCAGGTGGCAGGACTGAAAATTAATTTTAACAAAACAAACATTAACAAAAAATATGACTAAATTGCAAATTCAACAGTTATAAGAAATATCAGTTTTGGAAGTACAAAAAAAGTGAAATATTTAGGAATAAATATAACAAACATGCAGTTCCTTGCTGAAGGACAATTATTTGGAACTCATACTGGACATTAAGAAAGACTTGGAAAAATGGAAACATTTACAAATATCTCTGATGGGAAGAATAGCTACAGTAAAGTTGAATATTCTACCAAGGCTGATTTTCTTATTCCAAACAATTCCAATACTTCAAAACCAAAAATATTTTAAAGAACTTGATAAATTGATGATACAATTTATATGGCAAAACAAGAAACCAAGAATAAAATTGAAGGCATTACAAGAGGCAAAAGAAAGAGGTGGGTTTGCATTACCAGATTGGATTTTATACTACAGACTATCATCACTGACATGGTTAAAAGAATGGATTATATTAGAAAATACCGGACTATTAATGTTAGAAGGACATGAATTATTATTGGGATGGCATACATTTATTTGCTATGGAAAAGCCAACACTCATAAATATTTTAAACAACATTTTATCAGGAGATCATTACTGAAGGTATGGGAAGAAGTTAAAAGACTTTTTTATACCAAAATGGGTTTCACCTTTAGAAGCGTTCAC